AAGGGGTACCCCTTCAGATTTTGCGAAATTTTCGTTTTTTCCCAATAACTCCCAAACCGTTGGACTTACGAAAAAATTGTATAGGACCTTTCTTGTAGAGGACGACGAGATCTACAATTTCTGTATAAAAACTTTTCGCTATCATTAATAGTTCACGAGTTATTGACGAAAAACGAAGAAACAGTTTTTTGCAAATTACTCGTAAACTATTGACGATAGCGAAAAGTTTTTATACAGAAATTGTAGATCTCGTCGTCCTCTACAAGATAGGTCCTATGCAATTTTCCCGTAGGACCAACGGTTTAGGAGTTATTGAGGAAAAACGAAATTTTTTGTCAAAAGTTCTCTGATTCGACGATGAAATGGTCGGATTTTGTCAACATCAATAAAATGCCATATAATCATATGTAACTCATTAAATATCGAAGTTAGAAGGAAAATGCATAGAACCTTTCTTTTCATGTCCTACAACTTCTGTATAAAAAGCTTTTCGCCAGCTTCAATAATGATCGTATCAGAATACAGCCACGATCTTCTTCAATAGATAAACGATATTAATACATCTCTATGTTCACATTGTCTTCGGTTTCACGTCAAGGTGAGATGCACCGCGTTGCTATGCGATTTCAACAAACATTTTACTTGTTATCAACGAGAAATCTTATTGGCGTAGCAGCCGCCGGGCTTGTAAATGGGTTAGCATCCAGGAAGTGTCGATGCATTCCCGATAACTGCACCCACACGTGACAATAGCACATTGCCGCCGCAGGTGATTCAAAAATGGCGCTAGCAGATAAAAAAAAACAACATGGCATACGCAACAACTGTGGCCTGTGAACACTCGTTACCGGTTATCAGTCGTTACCCCCGATCTGTCTTCTCCTCCTGTCCGCGACTAAGTCGTAAATTGCTTCAAACGTCTACGACGGACACTGTAGCCTATAAAATAGCGAATTCAAGTTATCCTTCGCAATGGCCTCAGGAACGTTAATTGCAGTGCAGCCACGCTGCTATATTAACTCCTTCCGCGCTAACACAAACGTGTGATTCCATTTGCGAGATGATATTCAATTCCTTGGCATTTTCTAACGTGGTTACATCAGTACACAAAAAATTAAACGAGTCATAGGTCAATTAATATTTATATCACCATGTATAAACGAGAATAAAAGCATTCATTTTATACTGAATCAAAATTCTGTCATTCGACATGAGAATTCAAAATGTAATAACT